TATATATTAGAGTTTAGATAGGAATATTTGAATCATAAAAAAAGACTTCTATATGAAACGTAAAGAATATACAAATATTGATAAGAGAGAGAGAGAGGCCACTGATAAGAAATAAATCAGCGTTGACTGCAAAATTCCATTTAGTTTTGCATCTTATACCTGTCCTAAAATTACATTCTTCGTGTTTTATTAATCTAGGAATATAAAAGCACGTATATTATAATATTTGTTAGAGTCGTGATTAAATATGAACAATTTTTTCTAATTAAAAACTTCAAATCAATATTGAATGATGCATTTATCTGAATTTTTTTCTGTTTTTTTTTTTTCTTGTTAACACAGAGAACAAATTGTCGAACAAACGAAAGAAAGAAAGGTCTCCTCTTCTCTTGTATTTATTGATTTTTTTTTTCTTTTTCTTTCTTTCTTTTTTTACTTTTCTCTTATAATATAGTCGTTCAACTTCGTGAAAAAATATACCGAAAGATCTTAAGATTTTTGTGTACGTACGTACGTACGTACGTATGAAAACGACGACGACTATGCAAGCATAAGATGTAGTTTCAATAACGTGGGTTTGTTCTACCGTTTTCTCTCCTTCATCTCTAAGAAATTCTCTCTTAGGCAGTGTAGGAGCCAGGAACGAACGAACTCTCTTCGTGTTCGAGGAAGCGTAATTCTTCTTCTTCATCTCTTGTGTATGTACTAGTCTCTCTCTCTCTCTCTCTTTCTCTCTCTCTCAGACAAAAAAAAAGACATCAACAAAAAGAAGAGAAGAATATCCTTCCGGCGAGACGGTCTTTATAAATAGGAGTTCTAGAAATAGTCTTTCGCTTTATTTTCATTTTCGAACTATTATAGTCAACTAACGTGAGCTTTAGAGTTCGTGTTACTTCCTAATCTTGTGAAAACTAAGTAAGTGATAAAATAAATAATCGAGTCGTGAACACTGTTCAACTCCAAAAATGGATTCTTACTTTTATCTTATTGTTTAAAATAATAAAGATGATAGAAAATGTGAAACTTGTAATTTTTCAAAACATCTGATGGAAGATTCTTATTTGAAAATATGAACAGAAAAAATATTAAAAATAGTATCTAAATTGAAATTATTTCATTTATGATGATGATGATAACAACGACGATTTTTATCTAATTGTAAGATAAATTGAACTAAATAATATGAAAGGTAGATGAAAAAAAAATAAAACATTATTAGTGGTAAAATAAATTCTTACAAAATAATATTAACAAGAATTCTTAAGGATGCTTTTTACAGCATTGAAAAATGTTCATAAAAGCATTTTTTACTGGCTAAAAATACAGACTGTATTTGAATCATTTTTTAAGATGAAGTTGTCGTCGTTACTGCTACGATATATCATTGGTATATTTTACAAATCTTTGTTTCACCTTTATTATTTAGAAAAAAGGAATTTTAATTATTCATTGAAGTGACCATATGAGTAATGTGGCTTTAGAAGTTCAATTAGTTGCATAAAAATGAAAACTTTTAGCAATAATGCAGGACTCTATACATTGCAAACTAAAGTCATTTGCAATTTTCAATTCATAGTTTACAATCAATACCAAATTATTATTCTTTTGGTACTTTACATTTGCACTGACTAAAAAAGTGTTTCATCGGAACTTGTTACATACGTATAGTTGAACTTACGTAATTGTAATTAGCACATTGTATCATTTATTGTTCATTGACAATGGGATCGATAATTAACTTATATCCTTCCTGATAATTAACTATACTTTAACAAAAATAGTTTAAATTTCCTTTCATCAAATTGTACTTTTAATTACACACCGTAACCGCAAATTTGTCGAATGCGAGACATCTACAGAGTATTATGATGTGTAATCAAATCTTGATTATTATTATTATTATTATTTTATTATTATTATTATTTTTTTTTTTAGAAATAAATTGATTCATCTCATTAACGATCATTTTGATCTTTTCTGTTTTCAGAATTCTTTTGGCAGACCCGACGACGTCGTAGCTGCTGAAACTTTAGCGAATCACCTTCGTTGTAACAATTCTTTCGTTCATGCCGTATTCCAGGCACAATTTCGATCTAGTCTTACGTGTCCGAGATGTCATCGGCAATCAAACACGTTCGATCCATTTCTTTGCGTCTCGGTACCAGTCCCACAAAATCATCGGCAAATGAATCTCTTTGTAAACGTTCTCTACACGTCTCAACAACCAAGACAAGTTAAGATTGGCGTCAGCGTGAATCAAGCTGCGAACGTGAGGGAACTCAGAGAAATTTTAGCAAGCGATACTGGCATTGAAGAGAATCATATGTTGTTGACTGAAGTTCATGACGAAGGATTTCATAGGTAAGGTTTTTATTTTATATTTAATAAATTAATCAGTTTCTCTGTGTGTGTATGTGTGTATGTACATTTGTTTAACTTATTTTTCTTTTCTGTTTTATTAGGACATTCTCCGATTGCCAACCATTGTCTGTGATCACAGAAAACGATCCCCTTTATTGTATAGAACTACCACAGTTGAAGGAACCTGCTGAACAGGCATATATTTTATTGGTATGGATCAACGTTCTTGTAAAGGGTGACCTGAGGCAACGCTTTGGTAGTCCATACACAATGCAGGTTTCTCGTGAAACTTCTTACGAAGATCTCCAGAAACTTTTGCTCAAGGAAATGCATAGTACCTTGACCGACGATGTTTTAACATCCAGCCAAAATCCAGGATTATTTAACATTCGTGTTGCTGATCCAGCAGCGACACCTATTCAAGACGAACATCCTTGCATTGATCCTTGCGTTGAACATCCACTTTATACGGAACAAATCGAACAAGCATTAGCACTCTGTGCCGATGACTCCGGTCCTCAACATGTTAAATTGATTCTCGAATGGGACGAGGCTACGAAGAATAATATTATTCAAGATGACAGTGATCAGATCGAAGAACACGCCAGTGTAAAACAATTGAAGACTAATTCAGAGCTAGGCGGTGCGGTCACGCTCGAAGAATGTTTTGATCTTTATACAAGAGCAGAGACGTTAGGAGCTGAAGATGCCTGGCATTGTCCATATTGTAATAAAAAACAAGAAGTCGTGAAGAAGCTAGGACTTTGGTCTTTGCCTGATATTTTAGTAATACATTTGAAAAGATTTCGTCAACAATCGAAACAAAGATCTACATCGAAATTGACAATGCTCGTAGATTTTCCACTTTATGGTTTTGATATGACTCCTCATCTTGCTCATAGCGGAGTACAAACGCATAATAACGTTCCTACCCTTGGAGGCTTAGGTTGGTCTCCATGGAAAAAGCCAAGGCCACGACATCAAAGTATTCCCAAATACGATGAGAATGTTTATGATCTCTATGCCATTTGCAATCATCATGGACAAGATCTTCAGGGTGGTCATTATACCGCATTTTGTAGAAATCCATACGACACTCAATGGTATTGCTTCGACGATACAAGGGTCGAAGCTGTTAATGATACGAATCTTATAACGAATGCAGCTTACATGTTATTTTATCAACGAAGAGGATTGACTAGTAACTCTACTGGAAATTCCTCAGCGGCCTCGACAAGTTCGGCGGGCTCGGGTCTAGATCATTGGGTCTCTAAGATGCCACCGTTTTATTTTAATAATAAAACTAGTTGTAACGTCACAAATAATAAACAAAGTAAGTCGCAGGAAATATTGTGCCAGGAAAAAATTGTCGAAGAGAAGAATATGAATAATTTTAATAGAGGCTCTCGTAATTATGCAACTCTACAGCCAAAGAAGCGAAACGTGGCAACCGAAACGGATGCTGGAAACATTGATCATTGCTCGGATGACGAAGCTCCTTGTAGAAGAGAATGGGTAAATACCTATTTGTGCATATGTCAATATCTATTTTGACGTAAATGCTGTATAACAGCAACATATGTGTGTTATGTTATTCGTTTAATTTATAGGCTTCACCAAAACCCGTCAGGAAAACATCTTCTATCACGTTGACGCCTCATGTACCAGTAACAATAATACAAAATTCTAATAGTAATCCAGATACAACGGTGATCCATGAATCTACATTGTAACATACAATGTAAGCCAGATTTAGTCTGGCTTCGAGCGTCGTTTAATGTTCAGTGCCTGGAATATTGTATGCTCATGAGTTTCGTTAGAAAATGATTGATATAACAAAAGACTCTATTTGATAGAACTTAATAAATACATATTTAAATTCTTTGTTAAGATAGTGTTCGAGATGAATGATAGGTGTCCTAGAAGATGAACACTAATAATCTTTCATTCTGAATTTATATACAGTGCTTTTTCGTACCAGAAGTCGCGAAAGCTGTGAGGGATCTCAAGAGTTTTGCTCTTCTTTTTTGATGTTATTTCTACAATCTTCTATATAAAGAGTTTGAAAAAAAAAAAAAGAGTGTGAGTTTTTCAAATGGACAAAATGTCAAGCATTAGTGATTTTTGTATTTATAATATTATTAATAATAATAATAACAACAGTAATAATAATAATAAAAATAATATTATTAATTATAATTATAATAATTATAATAATAAAAATAATAATAACGTTTGTATACAGTTCGCGTGAAATGTATTATATAAAGTGTAATTATTAATAGGATAATTTTTCAAAATTGTTGTTATATCGCGTTTCAAAAACTGCAACAACAACAACAACAACAGCAACAAGATATAAATAAGAAAATAAATAAATCCCTCTTATAAAGTAATTTACCATTTATATACTTAGATTTTCAATACAATAGATAATAGAAACGCACGTATGTCCAAAAAGAATGAAGAAAATTTTCTTAAAGCAATTTTATGTAAATTTCGAATTGCAGTGCATATATGTGATAGTCATAAACGCGATTTCGTGTATGATAATCCCATATCATGTTATCATAGGATGAAAATTTGACAATAAGAGAATTCTGTGTGCCACAGAATTCGTTAATTACGATTGTTTCATTTTGTTTATAAATCTTTCCTGGACATAATGTGTAAATTGCTGAACATTGCTTTTGAGTCTGTGCTTAGCTGTAATATTTATATTATATTTGTAATATCCACTAGTGGCCTTAACTCTGTAATTACCTATCGATGCATGATTATTTGCAATCACATAAACATAATCAATTTCTCGGAGAATTTTATATTAGATACCTCTAGATTATTATTTTATAAAAGCCATTAGGCCAATGTAAACTTTAAATATCATTTTGCCGATATATAATATATATATACATATATATATTCGTCGTTTATCGAGATATATTTTATACTTCCGGTCATAATTCGAGTTCTTCCAACGACTGGCCAAACAATCAAGTATCAATTATATCGAAAGAAAAATAATTCTCGGCAAAATTACTTTTCTCCGGACGACGTTAAAATAATCATTTCTTTTATATATATAGTTTATTTTAATTTTCTTCGTTGTTTAAAAAAAAAAAAAAAAAAAAAGAATACTCTGTCCTCCTATTTTTAACGATCATTCCAAATAGTCGTTTAGTACGGAGCAAAGGAGAGTAAAAATGATGAAAGTGAGAAAAAGATTTATATATAAATATATATATATATATTTAAATATATGTAATGTATGTAGGTGTGCGTATATGCGTATATGTATATTACAGATTCGTATATTCACACACGCACATAATTAGAGCGAGTGAAAAATATTTAAGTTATTTTAAAATAACATTTATAACTAGTCACACATATTGTGGACAAAGGTAGCAATTACGTGCGTCACTATAATGTAGAAAAAAAAAAAAAAACAAATAAACGAATAATATTATATAATGAAGGAATAATGTGTATTCAGAAATGGAACAATGAGATTGACTATTGCTATCTATAATTATTATGGTTTTAGAAGTTGTGTATTCATGTTAACCGACTGAGGGATATTTATAATTATTATTCATATTATTGCTATAATTTTGTTAAAATAAATAGAGAATGTATATGTACAGTAGGGTATGCCATTCCATTTTAAGCACGCTATATTTTTCTGCGTTTTACAATTTATCTTAAAACTCTCTTACACCTTTTTCTCTAGACACAACCGTAGCACGATTATCACACGTTATAATGAAGAAGAAATATTGTACTTTCTTTCTATAATTTGTTACGTAACTCTACGATTCTCCATATACTTTCGAATATGTTTTTTCGCGAGATAAAAAAAGAAAAAAAGGAACAAACACAAAAAATTGCATATCCATGCGGAATGAAAAGAAGAAGAAGAAGAAGAAGAAGAAAAAAAAAAGAAAACGGCAAAGAAATTAACCAAATTTTTCGCTAGTCTAATATTCTTCTGGTATAAAATGTGACAAAATATAAAAGTGAATTCGTTACGAAATGAATTGAAAATAAAAAGCAGATGAGAAGAAAATATTCTGTCTTTTAATATTTCTCTATATAACGTCTCTCTATGAATAAAACACAAATTCATATCCTAATAATTATTCAAACATTAACATTACAAAAATGTTTTATATTATATGTTATTCGAATAAAGTAATATTGTATGTATCATAATTAGAGCTTTAAAACAAATAAAATAATTTGTTTTAAAGATTACAAAGAAAAAGGCAAATAGGACAGGGATCTGGAGATAATTCGATCCGTCCCTGACAAAAGTTAGAGCTCCTCTATCGGAGTGCATTAGAGTGAGACGGGTATAAGAGTAGGATGCGCTGGTGAGATCGCAACGCAACCGCCCCGCGATTGGCCGAGGTGCCGCCCCACTCCCTTGCGGCTCTCAGTCGGGCTCGGGCCTCCGTCGGGCGTAGTACGTGCGTGTCGTGTTCTCGTGCGTAACATAAGCAAGACTTCTCACAGTGAGAGAATAAAGGTAAGATAATATTAAACGTTTCAACATACAAATGTACAAACGTTAGTTAATCCTCAAAACACCATGTATACGTCAAATCACTAAAAAAAAAAAAAAAATCTCGTTCGTTCCTTGTCATCATAATTGTCGTCCTTTCGTAGAAACATTCAAGCACTTTCGTTAATACGTTTTTCTCGCGAAACACGAAAGAAAATTGAAAGAATGGGAAAATACTCTATTAACGATGTTAAGAAGAAGAAAGATAGAAGAAGAAGAAGAGGAAGAGGAAGAGGAAGAGGAAGAGAAACGAGTAAACGATAACAAGAAGAGGCCAGCGCCTCACTTTTTGAGATAAGAGAAGAAAAGAGAAATAGGAACATTGGTGGCGCTCATGCCCGCCTTTGGTGTGTACTCTCGGGATCGATACACGGGCACGCACTTCGCGCGGCGCCGGTGTAAGAATACGTCTCGTATACATGTCCCTTCCTGTTGTCCCCTTTTTCCCTTCACCCTTGTGTAGGACGCATGCAGGCTGCCTGCCTGCCTGCCTGCCTGCTTGCCAGCTTGTCTGATGGTCTACATGTATACGTTCGTTCATTCGTTCCTTCTTTCGTTGTTCTCCACGTTTGTTTGTCCGTGTGCGTACGTGCGTGCGTATATTTGTATATGCATGCATGTATGTATGTATGTATGTTGTATGTACGTACGTACGTATGTATGATGTGTAACGAAACGAGGAATGAACGAATGAACGAACGAACGATAGAAAAAGAGAGTAAGGGGTGGATTTTCTGTCAGAGAAAAAGACTAAGAGTGAGAGAGTAAAGAGAAAGGGGCTGGGCCACGAGAGAGAAAGAGAGAGAGAGAGAGAGAGAGAGAAACAGAAAGCTACAAAAGCGACCCGCAGATGTGCCGCGATGCGGGTGTCTCGAGATCGTAAAATTCACCCTCTTCGTTTACAGGAAAGAAAAAGAGGGAATTAGAGAAAGAGAGAGAGAGAGAGAGAGAGAGGGAGAGAGTGAGTCAAAAGATGGGTTCACGAAGACGGAAGAGATCGGTGGCGCGAACTTGAAGGGTGATATAAGAGACGATAACGAGGAGGAAGACGACAAGAAACAAAGTTTCTTCTCTCTTTCTGTTCACTCTTCCTCTTTCTCTTACATTCATACGATGACATATACATAAAGTATAAACCAACAAGACTGTATATACTCTTGTCTAGTTTTTCGACTTCACTTAGAAACTTTAGACTTTTTTGGTTTTTTTTTTTTTTTACTTTCTTCATCCTGTTTTCTGTCTTCTCTCACAAGCCTGTCACATAGTCGGTTATCATAGTTTCAGTTTTTGCATTCGAATTGTACGAATAAAACATTTATTTCGTTCTTTTCTCTTTTTACTATTGGATTGTTCGGAAAGTAATTTCACTTTTTTCTTTTTCTTTTGTAAAAATAAACACAATTATATTTGTCTTCGAAGTTAAACCTAAGAAGCCTTTCTTCAAGTGGGCATCAAAAGTTGAATTTGATCAATTTTCAATTTTACCAATTTCACGTGTTGTGTTATTTGCCGGTTTTGCATCAACTAATGTCAAAATTGTGTCAGAAATAAAAAAAAAAAAAGAAAACGAAATTACTTTCCGAACAATTCAATAGTTTCTTTTTGGTTTTTTTTTTTTTCGTATTTCACACTTTCACGAGAGATTTGTTTTAAGTGTGTTGATAATGATGATGATGATGATGATGATGAACGATCAAAAAATGTCATCTTCGGTATCTTCTTCTTTTTATCATTCAATCTTATCATTCAACAGTATTTCCATACTCTTGAAGTTTATTTAAATAACATTCAAAAACATTCTTTTGTCAAATCGTTTTTTTTCAATGTTATTACTCAACGATGTATACGCCCATATTGATAATTCGTTTAATCTCTCCAATTGATATACAAAATGTCTATTCTTTTTCTTTGACTATTTCAATTGAATTCATCTAATAGTATGATGTCTACTTATAAAGTATATTTAAATGAATATCAAGATTTCTTATGATTTTCTTTTCCTTTTTCTTTTCAATTTCATGACTCACTAGTAGTTTCTACATTAATGATAATATTTAGTTTGTTTTGAATTAATTTTAATAATTCTTTTCCATCTAGTTACCTTATTTCATAATTTTAACATTCAATAATAAATCTAACAGGGAGACACCAAATATTTTCTGATAAATTTCATTTGAATAAATATTAATATAAATATAAATAATATTAATATAAATTATTATATTAATTATATAAAAANTAATTATATATATATATATATATATATATATATATATATATATTACATATATTATAATAATATAAAATATAATTATTATATTATTGTGTAATATACATAATATCAATTTAATTATATTATATTAATACATAATATTTTTTATATAATATTTTTAATTATTATATATAATATATATTATAATAATATAAATATATATATATATATATATAATTATTATATTATTGTAGTATACATAATATTAATGTAATTATATTATATTAATATTATATACTATATTATAGTAATATTAATATAATTATTATATTAAATATATGATAATAATATTATATATAAATTATTGATAACTATCTATTTCTTTTTTTTTTTAACCATCTTTCAGTAAAATATTTAAAATGACCAACAAGTGACTAATATACTGATACTGATGAAAGAAACAAAAAGTATATAAAGAGAGAAAGAGATAGTGATCTTTATAACCCTTCGCCATGTGGGACGACCTCGAACATGATGCTAGATTACCTTAAATGGTACATTTACGTGTCTCTTTTATTTGTTCGATTATTTCCAAGCGAAATATCATCTAGTTGGTATTGTTCACGTATTGACGAGAAAATTAAATCGATACTCGATATATAAAATGAATTATAATGATTCGTGTTCTATAATAATCAGATATTGTTGTTGTTGTTGGTTGTCTTTCTTTATTGTTTCATTTATACGTATTATATACGTTTTATTTGTCTCTTCTTTACGTATATGTATATGTTTGTATGTATATATATATATATGTATATAAACTTATATTCACTTGAGCCTCCTCGTACGAGCACACCATTTTCATGGCGTATTTATGGAACGATCGTTAACCCCTCACGAACGATCTACGTTCTTGAGGTTATCGATCGTTCTTCTAGTATACTTCCGTTTCCGTTTTTCGATTTTATTTATTTTTTATTATTACATATATTTTATCATATTTTTGTTTCCTTTCGATTACGCAAGATAAGCTTGAAATTGGAAAATAATTGTTTGAGATATTCGAGATGATTATTATTTTGATATTTTTTACTCGTACGTTCAGAATAATTATTATAAACAAAAGGACGGATTTTTATACGAGTATTTCTTTTTTTCTTTTGTAGTTGTTGTTGTTGTTGTTGTTGTTGTTGCAATTTTTCGTTGGTACATTTTTATTCGACAATTTTTGTTCGTCATTCAGAGAGTTGTTCGTTGACGAACGTGAACGAAAAAAAAAAAAAA